GATGCATTTCTTACGGGGAGTCCTCTTAGACTAGAGATGGCATGTTCCTGCAATCTGTGATCCAAGAATGCTTCTAAATCTGAATCATATATATATATATAATAAATAAAATAACACAATATGTTATATGTAGATATAATCATATATAATACATAAATACATATTATTATTATACATACATACATAGTGTGTGTACATGTGTCCAAAATCATATATATATATATATATATATATATATCTGAAAGAAGAGAAATAGTCAATTTTTCCCCTGATTATAAACATGGCACATACTTATAAACAATTCAATTTGTGCAGAAAAGTATAAAAAAGCTTGTAAATCTTTCCAAATGGTATCGCATGGAGAAAGCACTGTTCATACCTCTGGTGATCAATGCACTGTCTCTCTGTGCCTACACACACAGGTAATCTGGTCATGCAACTCAGCATTGATGGGATCCATCATGCACAGTCACCCAGAGCCTGTGTTTTTTGCAACAATATGGCAGTGTGACAAATAACTTTCCATAAATCTACACAGTCACTTTTATCATAATGCCAAATGTAAGCTCTAATTACATTTGATAAAAGAACATAAATGGAACATCTACTTTATAATTAAAGCTTGATGTATATTTTAAAAAAATATAAGACAAACAGCAGTGTATGAGGCCTTTCTGCTGATCCAGGAGCCTGGGTATGTCCAAGCAGGCCAGGAGTGTGCTGGTGGACCATCAAACATGTCGGGAGGTTATGGGGTGGAGACAGAAGGGTTCAGCAAATCCAGCCATGATCTCTTTTTATAGTGCTACCAGTCTCTCTTGGTTTTTTTTTTTTGTTGTTGTTGTTGTTTGTTTGTTTCATTCTTTACACATTTTAATGGTCCTATTTGCACTTGCCTTCTGGACCATGTAGAGAGTATAGAAATTCCAGACATAGCAGCAAAGAGCCACAGCCTGAGCACAAAGGAGTGTATCCACTGGGGGTGGGCATCCCGGGGACGATTCTTTGCTATCCTGTGGGGGTTGAGTCCCTCCTATTCCAGTCTTCCTAGTGCTCCTAAGTGAGTCAGAAATAGGCATTTATATTTAAAATCTCTTCGTTTTTAAATGCAAGTAACTACTTTTTTTTTTTTTTTTAATCAAAAAATGAAACATACTGGAGTTTTCTGTGGTTGTCTGGAAGCCAGTCTGAGATCTCTGGTGTACAAAGCCATTTGTTTGTATCTATTCAGTCTAATTTGGTTCTAAAAATATTGACTGACTGCATCAGTCTGTGTGGTGATCACTATGCAAAAGAATGGAAATATGAAGATGAAAAGTGAAGGTCCGTGCTTTGAGTGAGGCAGCTCATAGTTTAGAGCAGTTGTTCTCAAAATTTGATCCCCACATCAGCAGCCACCATATTGCCTGGGAACTGATCAGAAACGTAGATTCAGGGGCACACACCAGACCCACGGAGTCACAAACTGTATTTTAACAAACCCTGGAATCTCGGTCCTATAGCGAGCCTTTCCAGTGGTTCTGATGCTTGCTGAAGTTTGAGAACCACAGGTCCAGAAGGGAGTCAGATGTACAAGCAGAGGTGTGGCATGAGTCAGGGAGGTTTTTCTTTTCTTTCTTATTCTTTGCAGGGTTGGGAATTGAACCTGAGGCCTTGCGCGTTCCAGGCAAGTGTCCTACCAGTGAGCACATCTCCGGCTCCTCAGGGAGGTGTTCCTGAAGTGGACAACTCTGCCTGAATCTTGAAGGATGAGTAGGCATTGGTTGGGTCAAGACAGGGAGGAGTGTCACAGGGAGATGGGCAGCAGAAGTGTAGTGAGGAGGGGAGAGTCTGTCAAGGGCACATTTGGGAAATGCGTGCAAGTGGCTACGAAAGCCACTCTGGGAAATAGAGATGCTACAGTTGGACTCTTGTCTGTCCCCGAAGGCCCATGTGTTAAAGGCTTTGTCTTCAGGGTGGTGCTATTGGGAGTTAGTGAAAGAAATGGGACTTCATGGCAGGCCTTTAGGTCACTGGGGGGTGTGCATTCAAAGGGGATTGTGAGACCCTAGTCCTGTCCTCATTCTCTTTTGCTTCTTGGCAAGGAGGTGAGTGGTTTTGCTCCACCAAACACTCCTGCTACCAGCATCGGGCATCTCCAATCAAGGCATAAAGGCCATGAGTCTGTCTGATCATGGACTGGGACCTCTCAAACCATGAACAAAGACAGACCTTTTCTCTCTATGAATTAATTATCTCAGGCATTTGTTGGGATGGGAAGCTGACTGACCCAATATCGGGGAATAAGTTGGAATCAGTTTTTTTTTAATTTTTTAAAAAATTCTAATTAGTTATACATGACAATAGAATGCATTTTGACACATCATACATAAATGGAGTATAACCTCTCATTCTTCTGATTGTACATGATGTAGAATGACGCAGGTCATGTAATCATACATACACATAGGGTAATAATGTCTGATTCATTCTACTATCATTCCTATGCCCATGCCCCTTCCCCAACTCCCACTCTCTCACCCCTCCCCACCTTATTGTGAGTTAGCATTCACATATCAGAGAAAACATTCGGCCTTTGGTTCTTTGGGGTTGGCTTATTTCACTTAGCATGATATTCTCCAGTTCTATCCATTTACTGGCAAATGTGGTAATCTCATTCTTCAAGGCTGAGTAATACTCTCTTGTGTACATGTACCACAGTTTTTTTTTTTTAATCCATTCATCCATTGAAGGGCACCTAGGTTGGTTCCATAGTTTAGTTATTGTGACTTGAGCTTCTATAAACATTGATGTTGGAGTCAGGGTTTTGATTCCAGGCCAAGTGAGCTGGCTTGTGTCTTGTAGGTGTTGGGACATCCCCAGAGACCTTTTAGCAGGAAGTTGTGGCATCAGGTCTGCATGTTGGAAAATAACACTGGTAGCAGGGTTCATGTTCCTTCTGGGTAAGGGCAACTCTGCTGGTACCCTGCTGGCCTGGATCTTGATTCCCGCCTCTCCTGGCCTGGCTTGGAACTGGGTCAGTAATTCCCATCCATGGACAGAGTGTCCGGTGGGAAGGTCCCCCGCTGAGTGGGACTTCATGGGACATCTTAAGGTCACTGGGGACTTTATGGGGCTCTGGGAGAACCACACTCCCCCAGGTGGGTGCTCCTGTTCTCAGCCATTGCTGTCATCTCTGTAATTTTGCATAATTAAGTGCAGTCCATCAGTTTCTGCAGCAAAAGTTTTGAGAAAAATACTCCATTCTATTATTTTCTTCAGAGATCGATGGTGTCGAAAGAGGAAACAGCCAAACTCAGGGATCCAGGGAACTCATGTCTATAACTAACCTGGACTCGTTTCTCCTCTTCCCCTGCCCTTTTCTCCCTTCTTTTTATTTTATTTATTTTTTTGTTATAACTTTGGTTCTAGAAAACTCCAGAGAGTTATCCAAGTTTTTCAAGTGCTCATAATGCCTCTCAGACTTAGCTATGATAATTTCATGCAAGGATGTGAAATTATGCCTAAAGACATAATGCTCTCTCCTGGGAGAGCAGGAGGGTGTTGTGAAGTGTTTCAGAAGTACCTCAGCTTGGAGGCAGGAATATGAATGCAAATGATTTCCATTCAGGTGGCAGTTCCACAAAAGGCTTTAGGAGACAAGAAAACACCCATTTCTCATGGAGCACCTGGGCCCTTTTTTGAGTTGAGAATCCTTTCTTCTAAAATGTATTTGGTCCAGAGCCTAGGAATCTGATCAGTCTCTTTTTCTGTTTAGAAATGCCGTGCCGTGGGAGATGACAGCAGCTGGATGAAGTGTCACCTCCCCCTGCTGGTCATTTTTTGTCTAGTGTCATGTTTGTAATATACAAGGAGAGTGGAGACAGGAAGAGACAGAGGTTGAGTTCATTAATTTAAAAAAAAAGTTGTCCCAATGTAGTCAACGTTTAATGTTTACCTTTGTGTGACTGCCAAAGGAATTTTTGTGACTCCTTTCACTCTTTGCAAAACGATATTCAGGAAGTTGATATTTCTTTTGTCTGCCTACTACAACTTTTTATATAATAATTATTATACTAGCTATCTTTTATTCTGAATATGCATTCATTATTTTTTCCCCCTGAGCTAAAAGGAATGGGGTTCTCCTGTTGGTTGCTTTGAATAAACACTCAAGCAGATCACAAATATTTCTGTCTGTCCTATTTATACAAAACAACCATAGTGCCATCTTTATGAAAATTAGAAATGATACTTAAAGTGAGCAAAACTAAATAACTGAGTTTTTTTAATCCACAAAGATGGGTTCATAAATTACAGGGAAAATTAATTGTGGCTCCAGGTACTGGATGGAAAATTATAGCCAATTTTCTAAGGAGGAAAACTGCTCTTCAGAGAAGTTTTATGATCAAGTTTTTCTGGGCTAGTTCTCTGGGCAGTTTTGTCGATTCCCCTTTATGAACTCTCCTGTTTGTTAACATCCAAATTTAAGACTTTCTAACCAAACACAACTTGGTCATTATCTTCTGAATCCCTGCCTTGGCTTTGCCCCCATGGATCTAAGAACACTGGAATCATTTTAGAAGTTTGGTGTGCTTTTGTGTGTTGGGGGACAGTCCCATCAGAGGAGGCCCAGGGTCAAGGATGTCCCTCATATGGAAAGTTGGTACATGTGCTTCTTACTAAGCAGATTCAAATCAGTTACTTTCTCCAGGCATATTTGATTAGATGTCATTTATGATCTCTCCAGTTTATTCAAATGTTCTATTCAAAAGGATTGAAATGTTGACCTCATTTAGGAATTGAGAGTAACAATGGAAATCTAGAAAGGGTAAAATTGCTTTTATCTACTTTAAGGCTCAAATTTATAACGTTGCAGCATCAAGAAAAAAGCCTGTATCTTGGTATCTTGGGCATATTCTGTAGACACACATGATGCCTTGTTCTTTCTTTTCTTCTTTTCTCTTCTTTTTTTTTTTTTGCATACTTTGTTCTTAATTGCATGTCTGTTTTTTTTTCCCTAGTTGCAAATGAAGCTGGAGATAAGAATGCTAGACCACTTGCCCGCTTCTCCCGTGAGTACATCTTATTTTACTAATTTCTTGGGCTCCTTCAGAACCTGTTCTCCAGAGGCCTTTGCTGACATGGTTCACCCCAATAATCTGGTCTGGTGTTAACCCAGTTATGTCAGCAATGTCTTCAACCTCCACTTGAGCCCCATCACAGGGGACCACTCTGGGCCAGGGGCTTTTTGTTCCTCACAACTGTGGTTTCCAAACGGTGCTCCAGGGCTTTGCTATCCCAAGAATGGTCCTCAGAGCTTCAGAATCAACCTCACTTCTGCTTTTGAGGAACACAGAGCCTCAGGCTTCCCACCACGGATGTTTTGAAGCTGACTCTGTTTGAATAAATCCTCAGGAGATTCCTGTTCACATTAGGGTTTGAGAAGCACTATGCCAGGAATGTCCTCAGAGTGTGCGCTGTGGGTGGTTCTGAATGAAGACACAGGGAGGAAGGGACTGTGAAGTGCCTCTAGCTGTCTGGGTCGATGCACATCTAAAAGCATCATCACTGCCTAATGTGGATTTTATGTACTTGCACCACCAGCTGTGTCTCAGCCTAGTGACATTTTTTTTAGTATTTATTTATTTTTTTAGTTGTAGTTAGACACAACACTTTTATTTTATTCATTTATTTTTATGTGGTGCTGAGGATCGAACCCAGGTTCTCGCACATGCGAGGTAAGCGCTCTACCGCTGAGCCACAACCCCAGCCCAGCCTAGTGACATTTTGCAGCTCAGGTAGATGGAATGGTGTTCCTTAGATGCTGGGATATTCCTGAGGCTGCAGTCAGGCCGGGGTGTTTCCCTCAAGTCCTCTCTCCAGGTCTTGATCTCAGTGGGGGAGCAGGAGTCAAAAGCCTCGCAGAAGTTTCTGTGCCAGTGTGGCCAGCAAATTGCAGGGCAAATGATCACCCTCCCTGGAATGAAAGCCTGGATTCCACAAGGGCAGCGGGAACCCCAGGGATGGAGTGGGGGGGCTGGGCAGAGGTGCTCCCCAAACCTGCTGGGCCTCCAGTGGAGGAATGGTTGAGTTGGAAATCAAAATAGATGCAGTCCACCCCCGGCTCTCATTTTCACTTGGTGCAATTTTACCTACAGTTTCTGGGCTTCGGTTTTCCCAAATGGAAAAAACAGGGAAGTCATAACATTATTAAAAATGTTGCCATCTTTTGAAATCGCGGCTTGAGAAGAGAGCCACAAACCTCCTGTCTGTGCATTGCTCATGGAGGGTGGATGATGTCTGAGTGTGACACGGCCGGAGTGAACCCTCAAACATAGAAAGTATGATTTCTCAATTTCTCTCCATTTACAAGGCTTCTAAACTCTACCTACTAGCTTTTTTTTTTTTTTTTTGGAAAGGCTTCGAAGTTTGGGATTGATTTCCTAGAAATGATTTTTATAGAGCTATAATAACGTATGGTAATGAAAGAGCACTAAGTGCTCACATTTTAGAAACTGCGTGATAAAACACCGGCTTCTCATGGGCTCTATTTTTCACTGCCCTCCTACCTGGAATCATTAAGTCCAAAATAAGTATTTCATCCCACAGCTCAATGGGAATGATGAATATGCATTTATTCCCTTTACTTTCTTATCTCTGGAGCAAGACTTGGGCATGTTAACAAGCTGGAATCATAACTGACCCCACAGGACAGCACTGGGCGGGGTGGGCCCCCCATGTGAGTCCTGACTAGGACTAGGAGGGAGCAGGGAGGGTCTTTGAAACCTGAGGCCAGAGTGAGGCCCCACAGCAGCGAGTCCCCTCACAGACAAAGGTGACTTCTCTGGTGAATGGTTTCTGTGACTTCTAAGCTGTGTGACTGAGTTTGAAGGATGATATGTCAGTTGAAAGCATCTTAGCTTGAGCTTAGAGAGGACACGGGAAATAAAAAAAATCTATACAGGAAAAAAGTGATCAGGTAAACTAATTAGGTTGGGCTGATTCAAGTGGGGGAAAAAAAAAAGAAAAACAATCTCCTGACTTGGTATGATGTCTTAGAAAGAAGTCAGTTGGTACACTGGCACATTACCTACTACATCTTTTTGTAGTAAATACTAGAGGGGAAAATTAGGTAGCTTTTAAGAAGAAAAAACAAATTTCAATGTAGCATTGTCCAATTGACACTTCACTTTATTACACTGAAATGAATGAAGTGTTCAATTTGGGAATATGGGGAGGATTTGGATGATAAACTTTTCTTTGGAGACTAGAAAATGAAAAACTGCAACATTTTCTCATTTTTGCATCCAATAAGGCAGATGTAGAGCTCTTCCAATATGCATTGCCCAGTATGGATTTAGTTGCAATGGAAATGGTGAGCAAGACCCTCTGCTGCGATGAGATGATTGGATCCCTTTCTGGAGGGTCAGAGAAATGCTTGGAGTGGGGAAGGAGGATTAATTGGTTGTGCTGATGGACCCTGTAGAGTGTCCTGTCAGTCTCTGTATCTTATCAAAGGTCCTTCCACTGCCCCTGCCCCTGCCCCTGCCCCTGCCCCTGTCCCATCATTTCTGGCTCTCACTTTGGATTTTGATCAACTTGACTTCTATCAGTGCATCTGCCTAGCAACCCTGGGCACATGGAGCAATGCTGATCATTCTCCTAGGATCTGGGGTGGGAAGAAGAGGAAGGCTGGGGGTGAGATTCAAAGGCAGTAGAGAATACGCTCCTTTGATAGGTAGAGGAGAGTGACAGTGTTCAGGAGAGAGGACTTTGACTCTAAAGTGTATGTGAGCTGGGGATAATTTGGCTTTAGACCACCATTTGGTTTGAGAATGCTGCCATCTTGAAGCTAGCTGTCCTGAGGCTGGAACCTGGGTGTGTGGGGACTTCCCCTCTTGGCAATTGGTAGGTGAGCTTCTTTCCTTAGGGGGCTAGGGTTTGTGTTTTCTGTGGCTTGGAGCCTTGGAGGTCTGCCAACATAATAGTGGAGGTGCTAAACAGTCTTCATAGATCTGTGTTGTAGTGACATCCACTACAATTATGTTCACCTGGCGGGAGGGGGAAGAACTTCCACAAATACCATCTTCCACCAGCTCACTAATATCAGAAATTCCTCATGGTAAGGGAAAAACTTTAAGACTTGAAATGCAAATTCCCATGGGAGATAGTAATTCTTATTATAGTGAAAATGATTGATAGCAGGCCTTTTAATGTCTTTCCCGCGGACACCTGTTCTGTTAGAAGGATCAACTGCTCAGTTATAGGTCCTAGCTGGGCAAGGAGCGCCCAGAGGCCATGAAGCTAGACATCTGGGACTTCTAGGATGGAGTCACCTGGCTGTGAGGCTGTGTCAGAGCTAGGAGAGTTTGTGACAAATATCAGGAGCTTGAGTTGAGGGTGGACAGATTGTGGAACAGAACAGTGAATACAAGGAGAAGAGAAATTGCATAGGAGTAAGGACTGAGAACTGCCAGGAGGGGTGGGTTGTGGCAGGGGAGGGCTTTTTTTTTTTTTTTTTTTTTTAGTTCTTAGGGGCATGTACTGGGGCAGAGAGTTAACCACACTGAGGGCCCAGGCAGGCATGATTGTGTTATGTTATGGGGAACTAGAAACAAACTCGTAGATGTGGAGGGTGTTATGGGGAACTAGAAATAAACTTGTAGATATGGAGAACAGAATGGTGAGGGAGGAACTGGGGCTGAGAAGAGTAGGAAATTGTTGTCCAATGGGTATTAATTTTCAGTTAAGCAAAGGGAATAAGTTCTGGAGATCTGGTGTTCAACATTATGCCTGTAGTTTACAATGTGGGATTCTGCACTTGATGTTTCAAATTTATTTTTTATTGGTCTATTACAATTAGATGAGATAGGGGGATTCATTAGGCTACATTCATACATGCACTTTACATAATTTGATTGCTCTCATTCCCTTTCTCTCCCCTCCTTCCCCTGATACTACTTTTGTGTACTTTAAAATAAGAGGATAGCTCTTCACCGATAGTACCCTTTTGGGGACCCCTCCCATGCTGTGAGAGCTTTCCTTGATTGCTTCTGATAAATCTGCTACTGAGTTCTCAAAAAGAAAAGGAGACCTCCTATGTTGATTTTTTTTTAAATCACAAAACCCAAGCAGCCAAATAAATAGAAAACAGAAGAACATAAGGACATTTTTGAAGGAGATGGTTGTGTTTAGTACTTTGGTTGCTGTGGTAGTGTAGGAGGCATATTCGTATGATCAGAATCACCAGAATGCAGACTTTAAATGTGTGCAATTATTTTGTATAGCAGCTATACCTCAATAAAGCTTAAAAAGTGGGGAAGAGGGGCTAGGACAGGGGCTGGATTTAGACATTTCTTGATTTCTCTTAAACAAACTTAAGAATTCCTAAAAACTTAAGCTCCTGTGAATAGCACTAGGTCCGACCTCAATAATATTCAAGAACTAAGTATCTCTAGTTCCCATTTATCCCAGCAAAAAAGTTATCTTGACAGTGGCAGCTCTAGAACTTTTGTGTATGAAGGGCTCTGAGGCAGTAATCTAGCTCAGTGGTATTCAAAGTGGAATCCCCGGGAATTTATTAGAAAGGCACGTTCCCAGGTCCATCCCAGATCTGCTGGGTCAAAAACCCTTGGAGTGGGTCCCAAGGGTTTTAGGAAGGTGCATCAGTGGTCATGATGCCCATGAAAGCTTGAGACTCTGGCAGTGGAGCTGGGCAGAGGCCAGGATGCGTGTTCTAGTTTAGTTTACATATTGCAGAATAATACAATTAAAGTTTTCTAGAGCACACATGAAGTCACTTATATGTAAGATGAAGCCAAAGTCAGTTGTCCTTATCCAAGAACAGTGTGCTATCACAGCTATTGTTTTATTGGCAGAGTTTTGAGGGGCCGATGGAGACTGTTGGGAGGGGTCTAACGGTCCCCGCATCCCACCTCTTGGAGCTGGACATGCTCCATACCATCTCTTGGATCAAATCCTTTTTTTTTTTTTAATTTTTTCATCTCCTACCGTGTCCTGTTGTAAGAGCTTGGCTAGCCACAGCTCCTTACCTGACCTGGGCCATCATCCT